CACAGCCTTGTATAGAACATTGCATAGCGCTATTGGCCTGTAATCTTGCATTGCTTCTGGGTTTCCTTTCTTAGGGATAAGAGTAATCAAGGTGTCATTCAAGCCAATAGGAAATGAGCACATATTTAAACAATGCAAGCAAAGGGAAATAACATCTTCTCCCACCACATCCCAAAAGTTCTGGAAAAAAGCCGGGTTCATGCCGTCTGGTCCTGGGGCTTTATCAGGATACATGTCATGGATGGCTTTGTGGACCTCACCGGTAGTGAAAGGAATTGACAAATTTTCAATCTGTAGGTTCGAAAGTCTGGGATTAATGCAATCAACAATTGAGTTTAAGCTAGATGAAGTAGTCGAAGACTTAAAAAGATTCTGAAAGTAATCGAGCATAACATGATGAATTGCCGTCTTCTCAGATTGCCAATTGCCGTCCTTATCTCGAATACCCCGAATCCTATTAGTCTTTCTTCGGGAGGAAGCAGCTCTGTGAAAGTATTTAGTATTAGAATCTCCATCTTTTAACCAAATTTTCCTGGATCTCTGTTTCCAATAGATCTCTTTCTGATGCAAGGCTTTGAAGTAATTAGATTGCGCCCTCTGGAACTCACGCAAACTAACATCATCCATCCTACTTTGCAAACGACACATGATAGCTCTATTTAGGCGGATTTTAAAATTTAGCTGGCGATGGCCAGAGCCCCCCCCCATCTAAGAAGATCACCGCCGCAAGAACTAATTCGATCTAACAAAGGATACCCTGCTGATTTAGACCAACTGACTCTGACAACCTCCCTGCAATCTGATTCACGTAGCCACATATTCTCAAATCTAAACCTTCGATGGGCATGCCTCGAGCTAGGGACAGTAGGTTTCAAGAAGATAGGTGCATGATCAGATGAAAATGGCCCAAGTTATGAACGTAAGCACTAGGAAAAATGTCAGTCCAAGAGGGAGATGCGAAAGCCCGATCCAATCGTTCTTCAACCCAATTGGGCGTGCCTTTACTCTTAAACCACGTGAATTGATGACCCACTAAACCCAGATCACATAAGTTGTAGTCGTCAATCGCCTCTTTGAAGCCATTGAGAAGCCAAGATGGGTGTTTGTGAAGGCCCATCTTTTCATGTTGATAAAGGAGATCATTAAAGTCTCCAATACAAACCCATGGAAGATGGGATGATGTAGCAAGAAGTCGGAGTTGGTCCCAACTTTCACGGCGTCGATTACGATCCGGATTGCCATAGTAGCCCGTGAGGCGCCACTTTGGATAGCCTGCAATGCTAACCTCAATATCGATGTGGAAGCGAGACATACTAATTAACGAGCCCATATAATGATATTTCCAAAGTAAAGCGAGACCGCCACTTCGACCGATACAATCAACACTAATGCAACAATCATAATTTAACTTATTTTTTATAGATATCATTTTTTGATTGCAAGAAAGAGTCTCAATGAGAAAAATAAAGTCAGGCTTATTCGTGTTGACAAGGTCAACTAAGACCTGAACTGCTCGTGGGTTGCCCAGCCCACGACAGTTCCAACTTAGGATACTCATGATGATCGGTGGGCCTGCGAGGCAGTGCCCACCATAGCCAAGTTTTTTGGGTCCTCGTTCATTGGATCAACTTCAGCAACCGGATCAATCAAGTTCTCATCAGTATTGGCCTCCAATCTGCGTCTTTTTTGATCCACTACAGTGAGGCCCAGCCCATTAGTTGAGACACTCTCATCAAAGTCAACAGCCAGAATTTCCTTAAATAGAGGATTGACTTGCATATTTAGTGGAGATGGATTCACAACGTTACGGATTTGATTGGTAGAATTGGATGCCAAAATCACGCTCTTTCCTTTTAATGGCAGTGCTTGATTTTCGGCCAATCTTGAGGGAGTTTCCTCATTTGGACCATTGATTGTAACCTTTCCAAAATTAGCAGCTGAATTCTCCGACGAAGATCCCCGAAGCCATTTCTCGCCGGCTAAACCCGGTGTGTTCCGAAGAGGAGCACGAAGAAATGCTCCATATGGACGTTCAACCTCCATACCACCAGCTTCATAGAGACGCTCACAATTTGAGTCGGAATGGCCAACTATTCCGCAGATAAAACAGAACGTTGGGACGCGTTCATACTTGAAATTGACCCAGATCCAATCGCCGCCTGGTTTCTTAAGTTTCATCCTTCTTTTCAATGGAATCCGGACATCCATGCGAATCCTTACACGAAGAAAATTCTTCCAACCTCCAGAGAAATTCTTTGGGTCGGAGGAGAGAAAGGAGCCAACAAAGTTGCCAATCTGAACTAGAACACGTTCTGATCGGAACCCCACAGGGACATCATAAATCTGCACCCATAAGTTCATGTGCACTAACTCAATGCTGGAAGGATTTTCATCCTCTTGAAGATGTTTGAGTAAGAGGAGATGATTGTTAAAGGTCCATGGGCCATTATCGAGCACTCGATTCATATCAATTAAATGGAAGAATTGAAAAATATATGAGCCACCACCCAGATCTTTGATGCAAACCCCCTTTTTTTGGCCGCCAAATGGATGCTAACGTGCTTCTCATTGAGACGAAGTGGATAGACCGGTCTGTTAGGAATCTGCCAACCAGGCAAAACCTATATTCATTTTGATCAAATCCCACAAAGAAAATTCATTTCATTGATCAAACATCGGTTTTGGATATAAATTTTGATTTATGAATTCTTTTGGTTGATTTGTTTTCATTTGAAAACTTTTTGCATGATTCTCATGTTCCTCTTCTTTTGATTTTATAAATCTATTCTTACTCATGATTTTTTATAATGAGACACTATCTTTATAATGTCATATCATTATGTGTCCTCATTGTATCTTGTTTGCTTGTGAGTGGTGTTTAGCATATCTTTTCTTTTATGCTTGCTCACATGTTTGCCATAATCTTTATTTATTGCATATTTTCTATATGGCATTTTGATAGGGGGAGCAATCCCTATACTTGCTTCATACTCACCCATGCTTATTTGTAGGGGGAGCTTTCGCTCTCTTAATTCTTTTGTCCCCTTTTTGATGTTGTCAAAGGGGGAGAAATATTGTGAGTATATTCCTTCTTGAGTTTACATGCATGTGAATTATAAATTATATGTTCATTTCCTTTATGCATATATTCCTTTTTGTAAATTGTTTGTCATCATCAAAAAGGGGGAGATTGTTGGCCTTCTTGTTTTGATGATGTTTAACAAACAATTTACCACTAATGTTGTTTGTCTAGTATTTGTGTTTTCGTATTTATTGTAGACAAACAACGTAGTTGGAGGATGGATGGAATAGAGCTTCAACGATCATATCCAAAGGAGGTTGGCGGAATGTCGGTGAAGCCTTGCTATTCAAAGTTCAAGATCCAAGTTCAAGCTTCATCCGCGAGATTACCAAGTCAAGCTTATTGAAGATCAAGATCATTGCTTGGGTAATTTAGTTTAGGAATTTATATTATGTGTGTTAGTACTTTAAGCTCAATCATATACACACATACACGTTTTGGATTTTGTATATATATAGTTATATATATACATATATGTTTTGGTTTGATAGTTTTCAAGTTTTACTATGAAACAAATGAATAGAATTGGAAAATACTATTTTGTTTCATGTTTATATGCCTATATATGATTTCCCTTTTAACAAGCTTATATTTAATGAAATCATATTTCGTGTTTTGAATATATTGCATAGAATATGCAAATTTATGAAAATATTATATTTCTAGATTATAGACTTCATAACAACATGTTATATCTTTTATCAAGTCTATAAAATCATTTCATAAGGTTTCAAAATGTTGTTTAAGTCAAAATATCAAAATATCAATTTTCAGGTTTTCATGTTTTGGACTATTTTGCAAAATGATGATATTTCTCATTTGGGAAGTCTTTTTAGAAAACCAGTTTTTGTAGCATGTGTATTATCATGTCTACAATCATTCCCCAAAGTTTTACATTTTTCTGAATTTATTTGATATTTTTAAACAGTGTTTTAAAATCAGCTCTAAAACCAATTTTTCTGGAAATGTCAGTTTTCGGTCGACCGGTACGGTCGACCGGTCAATTGACCATTCGTCAGTATTTTTCCAGAGAGTCATCGGTCGACCGGTCCGGTCGACCGAGAGCTCAAATCGGTCGACCGACCTTTCCTTGTTTTCAGACCTGCTCGCGGTCGACCGGATTTGCCATCGGTCGACCGAATGCTATCCATCGGTCGACCGACGAGATTTCCGGTCAACCGACAAAAGAGCCGTTGGCTCCTAACGGCTATTTCCTGAGCAGATTTCTGGGGGCTTTTCTGTCTTTTGTTTTGGGTGTCTTTGCTGAGATCTTTAGAGGGTATAAATACCCCTTTGCTGATCTCTCTTCATTTACTCTCAAAGAAGTGGTTTTTAAACAAAGTGTTAAACAAGGGTTTAAGGTTTTATTGTTTTGTTTAAGTGTGTTTAAGAGCTTTTAAGCATTTGAGTGTTTTGATTTGTGGAGGAAATTTCACAAGAGCAAGTGGAGATCATCATTGGTGTTTGAGCATGAGACACGGCTAGGTCCAACACTTAGTGGGTGTAGAGTGTGATTGCAAGAGTGTGAGTTGTAGAGTTTTCGGTTAGCTAGAAAACCGAGTGTGTAGAAGAAGTTCCGGCTTCCAAACCGGATTGTGTTAGTGGATTTCTCCCCGGGAGTGGGGAGCGGAGACGTAGGACGAAAGGTCCGAACTCCGTGATCATATAGTGTGTTTGAGTGTGCTTTGGCGTTCATTTATATTCATACTCATATCTTATATCGCCATTGTCATTTACTCTTAGTTCATATTATCCACTATCTTGTTTATCTTATTTATGTTTATATCACCCTTAGTTTCATATCCTTGCATATAACTCATAGTATATCTCATTGCTAGGATATATCCCTTGTTCATATTGTTTATCCTAGCTCACATATCTTGTTGTATTTTAAACTTGCTAGGATAACGTATTAATTAGTTTTTAATTAGCATTTAATCGGATTAGATTAGCATAAGACCCTAATCACCCCCCTCTAGGGTCTAACACAGGATACCCAGGCCAAATAAAACTTGAGGAAACACGGTAAAGGATAGCATCGGAAATCCAAAAGATTCAACATTTTAGCTCAAATATAAACTCATTTAATTGTAGTACAGCTGTTATACTATTTTGGTACTACGGCAAGACTAAAGTATCTTCTAAGAAGATGTGAGATGGGCTCATGATTGAAATGCAGGAGTAAGAGTGTGAAAGTTGTCAGAAGTTGCGGTACAATTAAAATTAGTATTATTTTAAAATGAAATTTACATTTCAAATTTACCAAACAACTTGAAGATACCATTTTGGTTCCAACATATCACTCCTGCGACTGGTTCACCATTAAACCAACCAGACAATTATTGAATTGAGTAAATGTAAAAATATTGCGGTAAGTAGCAAACCGGACATGAGAATATAAAGCACGGAGTTGCTCATTGGCTAGGGCAGCTTGCTTGGGGTTGATGCAACTCGTTGAGAGAAAATCCCCTAGATGCTTGTGAAGCAGGGAGAAAGCATAAATGTTGCAGAGGATTTGCAATTGTTCTTTAACTCCATCTCCATCCAAGTCTTGTTTCACCTTCTGTATGAACCTGCGAGCGAGCGAGTAGGCGAGTCAAATCCAAGCGAGCGAGCAATAAAATTACTGATTTGATAATCACTTGATGGAGTTCATTTCCATTAACCATGAGCTATATCCTAGATATCAAAGCTCAGATTACTAATATGCTATGAAGCACGGACACGCATAACATGAAGACGTGTCGTGTCGTGTCCGTGTCGGACACATGTGTCGAACACACGTATCCTATGTATTTTTTAGGATTTGCCTCGTGTCGGCGTGTCGGATGGCCGTGTCGGATCCGTGTCCATGCTACATAGCTAATATGTTTGCTTTCCTATTCATGAATGGTTTATAACAATAATAATAAAAAGCAGAACCAAAAGTGTATACTCGCCAAAGGCACCAAAATCAATGTAAAAAATTTGTTAAAATTTTCCAATATCCCAATAAAACTTTATTGAAGCTTTCACCAACCATACTAACAAATTGTGATAAAAGTTTTTTACTATACAAGGTAATCAATAAAAAACAATAGGCCAATATCTAGAAGAATTCGAGCCTTAAAAGTTCAAATCTCTAAATCAAGACCCAATTCAATCAATGTGGGACTAATGGATCCTACGCAGTCAGTAGGATGAGGTCAAGAAACAAAATGCAATGAATTCAAGATCAATCACTGTTTCTTGTGTACTTCTGCAAGGGTATGGAAGAGGCTCCAAATGTCTTTGATCACATCTGCATGGAAATGATGCTTATTTCTTTTTGGAAAACACTTAAATAACATTGTTTTTCATCAAATCTACTTCCAATATCTTCTAGCATGTAATGTTCTTTTCTAAGTAATTGAATATATGAGGAGTTAGCCAATTGATGTTAAAACATATAATAATTTTGGGTGGCTATATGCTATGTAATTGTCATCGCGGATTGATCACAATTTCACAATCTCTGCCCATTAGAACATGTTTTCATGTTCACTGAACAAACCTACTGAACATCCAAAAGCAAAAAAGGAGTTATATCAGTTTTTTTAAGCTAAAAGTGTATGGACGAGACTAAGCATGATGGACGAAAAACTTACTTTGATACAAGAATCAACTGGCAATGAGCCACTGCTGCCTACACTAAATCAGCAGAGAGATCTGCAAACCCTGCATAAAAAAAATAATGGTGTGAGTATGAATTGTGAAAATAAAAATCATGCCAAGAATCAGTAACATGAAAGAGAGAATGAATCAGCATACAGACGCATGTATCCAGAATTTGAAAAGCATAGTTAATAGATACTTTAAGCAGGAAGATTAGATATATGCCACATGTATGCATGCAGCAAGCCAAAGTCTGCATGTGCTTTATCTGTAAATTCATTTGCTTGCATGTGCGTGTATGTGCAGGTGTGAGTGTGTGAGCATGTATTTGCGAGAGAGGGAGGACCTAGTTCTGGGCTTGATGCTTTGGCAATATTTTGGGGTGTGTGAGCATGTATTTGCGAGAGAGGGAGGACCTAGTTCTGGGCTTGATGCTTTGGCAATATTTTGGGCACAATTAACAGCTAGCCTCACAGAAGGGAGGACCTAGTTCTGGGCTTGATGCTTTGGCAATATTTTGGGCACAATTAACAGCTAGCCTCACAGATGAATGCGTATAGAAAGGGTAAGCATCACCATACAAGGAAATCTCATGAAGTGTAAGTTGGGACAATCAAATACAGAATCTAAGATAAAAATGGAATAAAACTCTATATTCAATAGAATAAAGTGCTTGCTATCAATATTTTGGTTGCTACTTTGAAGTAATATTCTGTAAATGGGTCACGATGTGAAAAAGTACACCTTGACGAACATCAGATCGACATTGCATTAGGTGTTCTGCCCGCATAGAACATAAATAAAGTATAAAATGAAGATCCAAAATAAGAACATAAAAGTAAAATTATACCAGTTCTCAAGAAAAGACTATTATTGTTGCACCGTGGTACATGACTGTTCGAGCTGGAACTACCTAATGCTTGGACCTTCAATTTCATCTGAAGTTCTCAAAGTAGAATTTTAACTCATTCAACCTTCAGATTAATTAAAATTGTACTTTATGTTCTATGTTCAACCAGAGGTCCAAGCAATACTGATTTAAAGATTTTGTCAATTCTATTGATGTTTCCCAAAACACATAGTTACTATTCATGTAGGAACTATTACAGACATCGAGCGTTCGCAATCCTTATCCACTGGAGAGTATATTCTTTATTAGATTCTAAGTACGCGTAATTAATTGTTTTTTGGGTCCAAGCAAGTTTTTGGATGTAAACACACCCTAAAGTTCATCTATGTATCCTCAAGTATGTAGTTCATCTTCATTTTCCATACACTTACATTTCTTTATTTTTCCATTACAATAAGAAAAGTACATCTAAATTCTGATTTTATTTCTCTCTTTTTTTATAACAATCTACTTTTATCTTAATTTCTCATAATAAAGACACCGCCAAACCTAGCCATCTTTCTTTCTGCCTTATTTTTCCTAGCAATTAAATCATAACATTTTCCTTTCAAACATTTAAAAAACGAACCAGTTATCACCTTGGGCGATGGCTCCACTTTAAGGCAATGGCTATCAGTATGCGCTCAAACGATATGCAACTCATTCCCCGCAACGTACCTAAAAACAATCCAAACCAAAAACTCCACTAAAATCACTTCAAAATAATAAAAAATCCAATCTTTCACTTAAAAAAGGTACCTTTTGCCAATTGCAAAGGCAACGATTGTAGAGTGATTACGAGTGAATAAGTACTTCTTCCATCGCCACCACAAATGGCTGCCGATTCCGTCGCCGCAGAATTCGTGGACTTCCTGGACTTAAAAAATGTACCTTTTGCCAATTACAAAAAAGAGCCACAAACAATTGACGGAAAAAGTTCTTCCAACAATTAGCAGAAGACAAACTGAACTTACAAACGCGATCATCAACAAGATTGTGAGGCTCATAAACGTAAATGAAAATATACCTCCACAACTCGATAAAATTCACTGTTTCAAGGTCTTCAATCTTCAAGATTACAACTTTAAGCACGGTTCAAAATGAAAATGCATGGATACAAAATTTCCCTATAACTACATTTCCAACAAAAATAAAAGCTCCAAAATTACAAATGGCCAGTTTTTTTAAAAAAACAATTATTTTTTTTAAAAGACCCGTTTGCTACAAGGATATTCCAGGGCTCGACTCTCACTCGGTGCAGTATATGTGATTGGACTCCTCTCAGGATGATTCTCTAGGGGAAGCTGAGTGCTCTTTCTATTTTCTTCAAATGTGAAATTACCAGGGGATGCATACTGATATTGAATGTCCATTAGTCTCTAAATTTGCACTAATAGATGATTTAGAATATATACTTTTTTATATATAGATCCCAATAAATTCCAAAACAAAGTGATTGCAAGAGATTACCTTAATGGGTTGCCTTGATTGAGCCCAAAGCTCGAATTCACAATCATGGCCAACAAAAAAGCTACGAAAATAACAAGATAAACCAAATCCCTACACTTTCGATTGTGCCTTATAATCCCAACCCCCATTTGCGCGTCTCCATCGCTGCTTGGATATCTCTCTATGATCGCCCCAAGTGGGCCCCCCATTTTCATTTCCACCGCTTCTTCAAGAGCTGGGGAGAGAGAGAAATAGGGTTTTAGTGAGAGAAAGAGGCGAATCAAATCTGATTAGGAGTTATTAAAACTGCGAAGGGGCCGGGGAGGTGGAGCGTCATAGGAGGGAACGATTAAATGAGGGATCTTGCTAGGGAATCAGAGATGAAAAGGCAGGGGGTGGCGCAGCAAATGTTAGAACGATTAATTGAGGGAGATGAAGAGGCAGATGGGTGAATGAACTTAGAGAGATGAGGGAGCTGATATTGAGAAACGAAAGAATCGGAGATGAAGAGGCAGAGGGGAGCGACGGAGCTGAGTACGATAAAAGAGAGAGAGGAAGAGGAAGAGGCAGATGAAATAGGATCGGCCATTGCTTTTTAATTAATTAAATTAAATCATTAATAACAATTAAAAATCTTAATAATTTTCAGTATTGAATGAACAGAACAGAAATATAGGATAAATTTATAATTATGTAAGTTGATAGGGGCAAAATGGTCATGCAAAAGTTTTGACAATGGTTTTCTCTTTTATAAGTAGTATAGATATAGATATAGATTAACATCCAAAGCCCATACCTCATTTTTAGCATAAATAATTAAAAATCCACATGTTATGGATTGCAGCAACGTTGTGTATTTGGGCTTTTTTTCTTGATTTTTTGGTTTTATTTTCTCTGGGCTTATCTTGGGCTTCATGCTTCATGGGCCTCTTCGGCTTGTTTTCTTGATTTTTCCATAATTCATTACCATTAGGCTTTGGGCTTCATGGGCTTATGATCTGTGGGCTTCTAAAATTCTGAAAAATAGAGAAGAGAGAATTTGAGGGTTTTTTTTACATTTAATAATATTTATTTATGTTTTTATTCATTTATGTGCAAACTAAGCTAAACTGTTATTATTAACAGATTTATTTATTAAAATAATTAGATAATAAGGATGTAAAATGTAATAAAATATGTTAATCAAATGGCCTCACAAGAAACAAGTGCCCAGCAACAAGCAACAAGCAACAAGAAATAGCCTTAGAATGTACTTTAAAACTAATTTTAACGTGGATTTTTATTTGAATCAACCAACTCCTAGCAAAATCTTCATTTAAAAAAAACCTAAAAATAATATTAAAAACACAATGTACATGGCTTGCATCCAAACTATACCTTATCATTAGGCTCCGTTTGGGTACCATGTTGATTTACTTATTTTCATGGTATTTTTGCTAAAAATAAAACACCATGCGTTTGATAACCATGATGTCTTTTAATCATGGTACCCAAACAAAGCCTTAATCACATGCATTGAGCGTGTGTTTTAATGATATTTTTTAGATTTTTAGTAAAAACTTTGACTAGGAGATGGTTAATTAGAAAAAACCCCACTTTAAAGGTGGTTTATATATAAATTTAAAAAAAAATGTGATTTTTGTAAAATAATCATAGTTTCAAGGTGGTTTATGTAAAATAAAATTATTTTAAAGGTTCTTTTAGGAAATAAAAAAACAGTTTTTCTATAGAGTGTCCATGGGCACTTTATAAGAGAGGAGAGAAATCTTACTCTCTTTAAAAGCACGAGTTCGGAAAAATCTTTTGATAGACAAAAATACCATTGAAATTCAAATTAATCCATTAAGTAAGAGTAAGTTGATAAATTAAGGAATTCTTATTGTATATACATAGTATGAAGATAAGAATATAGTTTGATAAATTGATAAATTCTCATTGGATATACATAGTATGAAGATAAGAATATAGTTTAAATTAAAACGTAAACCTAAATGAAATTATTAAATGCCAAATTTACAAATGTATACAAGATGAATGACGTATATGCAAAAACCAAACGAATTAGTGAGACAAATAATGTCCGCCCCAGAGGTCGAACCTCGGAATAACGCAGACCTACAAATGTACATAATGTTGACGGGTATTTGCAAAATCCACCAAACAAATTAAAGAGACAAAAACGTTCTGAAAATTATAAAAAAGGAAAATTAAAACAAATGGCTGCGATATGAGGACACAACATGGCGATCTCTCACCAACTAAAATTCAAGTAGTTCATGGTACTGCATATTTAGTTTTAAAGTTTAATTATACTATTATTATTTAAATAGAACTCTATTTACAATTGTTATCCTCTCACATGCAATATCACATATTAATGTTTATAAGCCAAGAAACTACAATAATTTTCATAGCACTTTCATCTCCTTATATATGTATTTGCCTTAGTTATTTTCTTCTTATTAGATTAGATTAGTTTATTTTAAAGCAATTAATTATATTGTATATTTAATCTTTTTCCATATCAAGAAATATCAATAATTTTCACAACTCTTTCATCTATTTTCTTCTTATTAGATTAGATTATTTAAAAGTAAGTAATTATATTGTATGTTTGATCTTTTTCTTCAGGTCAGAAATTGCAACAATTTTCATAGCACTTTCATCTCCTTCAACAGATATGTGCCTTTGTTTTTTTCTTCTTATTAGATTAGATTAAATTGTTTAAAAATTATGAATTATGAAATTACAACAATTTTCACACCATTTTCATCTATTTTTTTCATATTAGATTAGATTAGATTATTTTAAAGCAATTACTTATATTGTATGTTTGATCTTTTTTTCCAGATCACAAAGTTTAATTATACTATTATTATTTAAATAGATACTATTTGTTTAAAAACAAAGAGAATCTCACTGATATCTTAGATCTCAATGCCAATTATAATAGTTACACATGGGTGTTGGTTAAAATAAATTTCATGTATGAGTTTAACTTATATAATCCTACTTCAACCGGATTAGATAATTTAATTTTTTTAACACCCAAACTCTTCCCCAAAACCAAAAGAGAGTAGCAATGCTACACACACACACACCGTACCACATATATCTTAAAAATGAACGAAGAAAACCACACAAACAATAACCATATTAATAACACACACGCACCCACTGTTTCCAAAACCATCATTCCCCATATCCGTTTATTATATATTCACATACCAAATTAAATTGTTGGAATTTTCCCTCACCAACTACACCATTGATCAACTCTCCTTTTTTCTTTGTACTTAAATTGTATAAGATTCATTATGATGAGGACTCACATGGGTCCTCTGCCTGCCTTGAACGTCCAACAAAAAATAATGTACTAAGCCTTGTAGTTAGTTAATAATGAGATCTCATCATTATAAACAAACTAAGTAAAGATTAATAATTTTTAAGAATGTACTATGTTCCCCTATATTCCAGTAAAAACTTATTAGTTGTTCATTCCCGGTCCCAAGAGATTTTTAAAATTAATCATCAATTTCATACTTTTTTTTTAAAATGTTTAAATAAATTTATGACAAATGTAACAATCCATGTTTATAGATTTTAACTTAAAATGAATCTGACTTATTTTATAGTAAAAAAATAAACAAAAAATTAATTTTAATTATTAACCACGTGCATTGCATGTGCACAAGAACTAATAGAAAGAAAGAATGAGGAGAGGATCCCAATACAACCCTCTCCTTGTTCATTTCTCTCTATCTCTCTCGTGGCCACTCTATATAAAAACCAATAAAAAAAACCATAAAATTTTAAGGAAAACAAATCCCCAAATCCAAAATCGAAATATATCCATTTCAATTCCTATCCACTCGCCCCCTTTTTCCCTCTACTCCTCCCCCCTCCGTTCGGTTCTCCGCCAGCGATGCACACCCTAACGGGTACCCACCTCCTTCTCCCTTTCGGTTCCGGTCACCGCCGTCCCCTTCTCCACCCTTCAAGGAGACTTCCCGCTCGAGTCCGGTGCTCCGCCGGTGACAAGAAGCAGCAGCAGAGGAGAGCTTATCCGTTCGATGAGATAGAGCCCAAGTGGCAGCAGCACTGGGAGGTGAAAGCAGCAGCAGAGGAGAGCTTATCCGTTCGATGAGATAGAGCCCAAGTGGCAGCAGCACTGGGAGGTGAACAAGACGTTTCGGACACCGGAGGATGTGGACACCTCCAAGCCCAAGTGCTACATTCTTGATATGTTCCCTTATCCAAGGTATAATCTCTTTGGAATTTTGGAGTACTAGTTTTAGTTCGAAGAATGAGTATTACCCATTTGATCAAAATTTGAGCTTGGTGACTTGAATTGTTAGACGTAGGAGCTTTATTAAATAGGAAAGCATGAGTATTTCTTTGCTCGAAAAATGAGTACCGATTTGATAGAAACTTAAATTTGTGGACAACGTCGAGTTTGGGTAATTTGAGCACTAGTTTTAGTTCAAAAAAGAGTACCCATTTGATCAGAAATTGATTCGTTGGCTGGACTTTGTTAAGTAGATTTAGGAAAGTATGAGTATTGAGTTGATTTAGGTTATTTGGATTTGGTATTCTGTAAAAATGAGCACCCATTTGGGCAAACGTGAAATTTTGTAAGGATGTAAGTGATTCAAAATTGAGGGAATAGAAAGGTCTCTTGGTTGAGAATTGCCTTTCATAATTCTCATTTAGGAAATGTGTACCCATTTGAGCATAACGAAAAAAAAAGGAATTATCGTGCATTTGATTTAAGCATTTATTTAGATCTGTATCATATTCGAACTAAAAAATGAGCTTCAATTTGACCAGAATCTTGATCTTCGTGAAAGAATTTTTGAATTTGGTATTTTGGTAGCTAGAATTGTGAGAAATGACAGACTTTTATTTCTTTATATAAAAAGAAATGACAGATTTCTTAATTAAAAGGTACTAACCTTATGTTTTCTTCTATATAAGCCAGTTGTTGAGAATTGGAATTGTTAAAGAAATTTGATTTAGGTGACTAGGGCCTGTTGCATTCATTGTATTGACAATCTTTGCCTAAGAAAGGCTGTATCATATGAATTATGCAGTGGAGCTGGATTGCATGTAGGCCATCCTCTTGGATATACCGCCACCGACATTCTATCAAGATTTAAACGAATGAGGGGCTTCAATGTTTTGCATCCAATGGGATGGGATGCATTTGGTCTCCTGCTAACAATATGCTATCGAGGTTTCTTTACTACTTTTACAACACATTTATGCTGTTAGCTTTTCCCCTTGTTGCGTAACACCTTGCGTGCAGACAGGGACTCATCCAAAGGTTACAACAGCTCGAAATATTGGACGGTTCCGATCTCAGGTATTTCAAAGCTCATTTGTGATTCTTGATCGCGTGAAGGATATTTCTATGGTCACATATACATTATTATTCAAATGATGGAAATAAACTTGAGATTCTTATGATTATGTATCCTTCTTATATAAGAATGCAATTGCCTCTCAAGAGATCCTCAACACCTTTTAAAAATTTCAAACATTTTCAAACAAAATATTTCATATATCCATTTCTATTTTTGGCATTTGGACAATGCAACTGAGAAGTATTGACAAAAGATTATGTGCAAAAGCCTTATCACTGGATAATTTAGTCATGACATCTGAACTTTCTGCAATGCGAATTGGCAATGCTGTTACAGTAATTATTAGATAACAACAAGACTGAAACCATGCTAATATATTCATTTGTCTTCTTTTAAGTGGTTCTTTAGCAATACAGCCATGTTGAATTTTTTTGGTCTCACAAAGACTCCTGTTGGCACTCGTTTCTTTTGTTGAGCTGCTGTCTCTATTGTCATGCTATGTTAGCCTCAGTATTTGCTTATTGATTATCTTCAGCATATTTATAATACTCTATATGCTTGATAACTACTTTTCTTTTCAGCTTAAATCACTAGGCTTCTCGTATGATTGGGATCGTGAAATATCGACCACTGAACCACACTATTATAAGTGGACACAGTGGATATTTCTTCAGCTACTGAAGAAAGGACTTGCATACCAGGTGAGTATTTACCAATAGAATGTTTAATTATCTTTATGCATGTTTTGTAAGCTATGATTACTCTTCTTCACTATTACATCTAAATTATAATAGGTTGGTTGTTCTTAATTCTAATAATCAGGCTGAAGTGCCTGTTAATTGGTGCCCTGCTCTTAGTACTGTTTTGGCTAATGAGGAGGTAGTGAATGGTGTTAGCGAACGCGGGGGTCATCCTGTTATAAGAAAGGCACGTATAGTTTAATGGTTCCATGATTTTTTTTTCTTTTTCATAGATTATGCATTTAAACAATTATAATCGTCTTTGTTGAAGCAGCCAATGCGTCAGTGGATGTTAAAGATAACCGCTTATGCTGATCGTCTTCTTGGAGATTTGGACGGTCTTGACTGGCCAGAAAGTATTAAAGAAATGCAACGAAACTGGATTGGCCGGTCTGAAGGTTTGGACGGTCTTGACTGGCCAGAAAGTATTAAAGAAATGCAACGAAACTGGATTGGCCGGTCTGAAGGTGCTGAACTTGAGTTTGCTGTAGTTGATTTGCTCGGACATGAAGAAGGCGTAAAGCTCTCTGTTTACACAACCAGACCAGACACTATCTTTGGTGCAACGTATATAAAATGCAAATTTTCTTCATTTTTTAGAGGATTAAATAGTTCTTTACTTTTCAATCACATTGTATGTTCATCGACATTATTTTCTTGCTCTTTTCTTCAGATATCTTGTTGTGGCTCCTGAGCATTACTTGCTGTCATCAATTGTATCCGATGGCCAACAGAAGGAAGTATGTTTATTTGTGGCTCCTGAGCATTACTTGCTGTCATCAATTGTATCCGATGGCCAACAGAAGGAAGTATGTTTATTGGATTCTGTTGTATTTTGCCTCGGCGCCGTTTAACGTTGGTCAGATTATAAACTAGATTATAATGAATGCAGGTAGAGGAATATAGAGAAGTTGCAGCAAGAAAAAGTGAGCTTGAGAGAACTGATCTTCAAAAAGAAAAAACTGGAGTATTTAGTGGTTCCTATGCTAAGAATCCAGCTACTGGAGAGGTCATTCCAATATGGGTAGCAGATTATGTTTTAGGAAGGTTTATTTGGAATTACTCTATATAGTTTCTAGAAATTTACATTTGACTGATCATATATAATTCTCTTGTTGTGGTAGTTTCAATGGTAATTAAATACTTCATATTTAGATATCTTTATTTAGCAGAAGATTACTCTTCCATGGTGCTGATGATCCTTGGGATTTATGGCGGATACTGCTTTCATTAACCTGCAAAGAACTTATATATATATATATATATATATATATATATTATATATATATATATATATATATCATATATATATAGAGAGAGAGAGAGAGAAGACGAGAGAGACGAGAGAGAGAGAGAAGCAGGAAAACTATATGTCAACTTAGTGACGGTATCACTAAGTTTCTTAGTCATTGATGATCACTTGATTGAGCTACATTGTGGATGATCCGCTCCGGTTGAACTTGATCTACATATTCTAAAACCCACATACACCAAATTTGGGGTGAACCCGTCATGCCGCTTTGCGACCCTTTACTCCACTCGCTATCAATTTTTAACGGTTTCGAATTGAATAGAAACTTTTACATGCTCGACGAGTAAGGCCGTCAAACCATTGACGAATTCACACCAAATTTGGTGCTGTTGGGTTTTAGAATATTGTAGATCAAGGTTTCAACGAAGCGATCATCCACAATGTAGCTCAATCAAGTGATCATCAATGACTAGAAAACATGACGTGCCAGCTTAAGTGGACACAAGTTTTCCTCTCTCATCCTCTCTCTCTATATATATATAATATATATATATATATATATATATTATATAATATATATATTAAGTTGACACAAGTTCTCCTCTCTCTCTCTCTCTCTCTCTTATAATATATATAATATATAATATTTATATATAATAATATATAATATAATATAAAGGGCATGAAATTTCTGCTGAAGTTTAGTGAATCATTCCATTAGTGTATAATTGGCACGTGTTTCTTTGAATAAAGGTGCTATGAAAAATTTCTGTTGAAGTTAATGAATCATCCATTAGTGTATATATTCGGCCAACTGGGTTTCTGCCATCAAATTATATATATATATATAATATATATATTATTATATATAAATATATAATATATATATATATATATATATATATATATTATATTTATATATATATATATGTATAAGATAAAAGGCGCATGGAAAATTCTTGTTGAAGTTATGAATCATCCATTTAGTGTATAATTGGCACTGGTCTTCTTGCATCATTATGTCATAATGAATAATTGGCTAACTTGATTGCATTATTAAAACTAGTACTTCTTATATATATATATATATATATATATATAAAGAATAAAGGCACATGGAAATTTCTGTTGAAGTTATGAATCATCCATTAGTGTATAATTGGCACTGGTTTCTTGCATCATTAATGTCATAATGAATAATGCTAACTTGATGCATTATTAGCTATATTCTTTTTTATTGAGGTAAACAGAAATTACGTTTTAATTATGGCCTGAGAGAGCGTCAATTACTTAGATATGTGCATATTGCTGGAAAAGCCAAAGGGTCAACAGGCCAAAAATCATTCATTTACTGTACAAACTCAATAGTGTGTACCTATAATCTCAACATGAGCTTAATAATTACCATCATTTAAAATTGTAATAAATCAAATAACTCTAATTTGACGTTGTTTTCATAAGCTTCTTCTAAACCGCTTCCTAATGCCCTTAGCTTAACACTGAGTCCTAGAAAGTAGAAGCCTTGTAGCTCCTGCACAGTCAGGGTAACGCTACCCTAAGTTGCATGTTTCCTTTGCATCTTCAGACTGTAATGTATGTTTCAATTCAAATGCATATCAAGTGATGAATAACATGAAGAATATAATATTCTTGGCCAAATTAATGAGCTTCATCCTGACAGGCCTAATGCCTGGGACTTGGGTTGTAGTAGTATGATGTGTCAGCAATTGCTTATAAGTGATTTCTTATTATTGCAAATATCTCAGGTTTTTCTTAATACTTTTCAGTTATGGAACTGGAGCAATTATGTCTGTACCTGCACATGATTCTCGTGACCACGAGTTTGCCCTAAAATATGACATCCCGATTATGAGAGTCGTGAAGCCATTTGATGAAAATTATGACGAAGGTGAGCCATTTTTAGGCGATGGTACCGTGATAAATTCATCTAGTTCACTGACTGGATTGGATATCAATGGATTGTCTTGTAAAGAAGCTGCCTCTAAAGTCATAGATTGGCTTGATAGTACTGGCCAAGGAATTCCGCTATCCGATAAGAATTTTGGTCGTCCGATAAATTCCCGATAACCGATATTTAAAACCTTGCTCCAAAGTCATAGATTAGCTTGATAGTACTGGCCAAGGAAAGAAAATGGTATTGTTATTTTTCCATTTTTTCTGCTCACCCTTTACCATCTGTGCTTTGTTTAATTTAAAATGTGAACCTTAATCAGGTGAACTACAAGTTGAGAGATTGGCTTTTTGCTAGACAACGCTACTGGGGAGAACCCTTTCCAGTAATTTACTTAGATGAAACTGGTGAAACTGTGCCTCTCCCTGAAAGTGAGCTACCCCTTTCTCTGCCTGAATTGGATGATTTCTCTCCTACTGGAACAGGAGAACCCCCTTTGGCCAAAGCAGTGTCCTGGGTATGTATAGCAAGCATTATTACACATCAAATATTCATATATAGTATTATTTTTTCGCATACTTATGACATTGTCCGTCGTACTTGTTTTGAACTATTTAATCCTATTCTGTTTTATCGTATTGAGTACGGAAGAAGCTTATGAGATAAATTTTCTATGCTAATGTGGTTACTGGGCAAGTGTGTTGTCATAAGGGGACTTTTTTTTTGTTGGGAGCCTTTATACTAGGATCTAGGATTAAGTCTTGAGGCATAACCTTCAATCCACATTTATTTAATTATTTATTATTTATTTACCTTTACCATTGGCTATGGATGTGCTTGTTCAAGTTAAACCACAGAAATCTCATGCTTATCTCTTTTCTGTTTGTCCATTTTGTTAATCTTGTTACTATCTTTGTGTTTGGTGAAATCTGTAAATATTCTACAATATCATGACTTGATTCCATCTAAGCATCTAGCTAAAAATCATGGAAGCAACATTTTAATTTTGAAAAAAAAACATTTGATTGTGATGAAAAAACACATGTGCAAAGCTATATCTGTGGAATGTTTAGAGTTGCGGATATAACAATTAGATGAATGAGATTTCGTGGCCGTTCAATTATCTTAAATGTGGTAAAGCTGAATTCTATGATAACACCCCCTCACTGCTTGTTGACATAGTCTTGTTTCACATTGTTGCTTTACATGGTCATACTGCTGAGTTATAACTACATCCACTTAGCTGAAAAAACTTGAATAATGATAGATTGTTAAGTAATATTTATACAACAATGATCTCTGAAATATACTTGACCAGTACCCTCCATAACATATAAATATATAATGCTCATTTGGTTTTCTTAATCTTATTACTACTCGACATTTTATCCCAAATCATTCGCTCCAAACCTTACAATAGATGCATATAATTTTTCAGGTAAGAACAATCGATCCTGTGACTGGAAAACCAGCAAGAAGAGAAACAAGTACTATGCCACAATGGGCTGGATCTTGTTGGTAATATTATCCATTACCCCGCTAAAACAATGTATTTACGCCACAACTCTTGCTATATTTGCGCATCAATTTCTTTGAAATTTGATTCTGAACTTTTCTGACCTAGGACACCTGGGAAATACGTTGATAAGTATTTACCTTGAAAGTTCTTTAAGAAACTTTGCCTATGAGTTTTGAATATCTCTGATATACGCAATATTTTTGTAACGCATAACAAATTTAAAATGTGTTGGATCAGGTAGACTATCAGATCAGGTAGACTATCATCGTATAGTTCAAATCATGTTGTTGTGAGTTCGATACTATCTTTGGTGAAAGCTAAACAGTGATTGGTTTTTAGAAAGGAAATGCTTCGTACTGAAAAAACACTTAAAAAATTTGTAATGATGTCCAGTTTATAATAATAAAGTCTGTTTGTTTCCCTCATTTAGTTCTGCACTTGTCATCTCAATCTTACAGAGGGAGCTATAACCAAGTTAATGATCCTTAGTCACTTATGGAATAGTGCACCTAAAAATTTGAGTAGGTTACATATTAGCTACTAAGTTGCACCAGACATGCATATAGTTGGAGATGTAGGTATGAACACACACATAAATACCGGAACACAAGCTTGTAGTCGGTAGGTTGCGGGACTCGATTATTGTATACGTTTAATATATGTTTTATATATATTATATACATATGATATACAATTAAAAAATGACATCTGAAAAACTTTTCGAATATCATAGATCAATAGTTAGACTGTGTCATAACTTTATAACAGTAAGAGAGAGGTACCCTGAAATAAAAAAGTCAATGCTAACAGCACTAATTTACATTGAGAAGGGTTAAAATGACTTATTGTGATTGAATCACTGGTTTACTATGTAAACAAATTAAATCTCATGGACCTAACAAGAAAAAGTGTCTTCTTGTGTCTTGAACCTAAAAGATCAAACTTTTAAGTAAGAAAGATTAGGTGTGTCCAATTTGGTGCCTATGGTATTCCCACGGAAGTATCTGTGTCCTACTTGTGTCAAACACTGGTAGTTCATGAAGAAGCGTCCCTACTTTATATCAGTAGTATGAACCTTATGAATGTTGGTAATACTGAAAATTTTCAGTGTATCACATAGTGAGCAACTTTGCTCGTAGCCTCCAACTGACCAGTTTAATCTACAACCATTAGAGCTGAATTGATGCCTGACTCAGATTTGGATACTATTTTCTGTATCTTCAGCCTTTCTTAGGTTGAGGAATTTTTTTTATCACCCTATGATGGATAGATATCTCCAAATATGGCAAGTTATTTCGCTTACAAAGAAGATAAATTTTCTTCATTGAATGTTCCATGCAGGTACTATTTGAGATTTATGGACCCTAAAAATGGCACTGAATTAGTAAGCAAGGCTAAAGAACGGTATGCAGCTTCTCCTTTTGTCCTGTATGCCGTACATAGGCGTTAATTATGATGTGGCTGAGCATCTGTTTGATTGGCTATATATAATCAGATATTGGGGTCCTGTGGACATTTATATTGGTGGAGCAGAACATTCCGTCTTGCATTTGCTTTATGCAAGGTTTTGGCACAAGGTTCCCCTCAGTCTACACTTTTTATTCCATTACTTGGTTGATATGAGCATGATCTTCTTTTTCATGATCATATTATGAAAACACATATGTTTGAAAAGTGTTGCAGTTACCCACAAAAGCATTTTCATACATTAGATTGTTGTCCCAACTATTCAAATTAGATTGTGCATAACTATGCGTAGGGTTTTTTCATATTTATTGTTAAAGCCAGTTATATATAGGTGGTTCATCAGCCATTTATGAAATCAATCAAAGATCAAGCTTAGTTTTTCTAATTTGACTAATTATTGTTATACTCATGCTCTTCGAAAAGCTTTGAAAAATTATTCTATTCCGAAAAGATTTTAAAGAGGCACAAAATGCAGAATAGAGATTGAGCAAGACCCAGTAAAACATTATAGCAACCTTGGATGACACTGTAGCAGAAGTTAATTCGCAGCCTAGTATTACATGTTGGCTGACATTTCAATGTCATATGGGTGGCTGCATTTCTTTTGCATTACCTTTTGTTGGCACTATTATACCGGAGCTATTTTTGGGACAAATTAGTCAACTAAAATTTATTAAATCTATTAGATTGGGCTTTACATACTATTTTATCTGAAACACTAGAAAAGAAAAGTTAAGTTTCTCAAATCGTACTGCTAAACATATTGAACCTATATACCCTTAAATCTTTTGTAGACTCTCCCATGAGAGAATCGTGAGGCCTTTCCATTCATTCCTATAAAAATTTATTTTCATAATTTCCCACCCACCTTTCTTCCCATGTGCTTCCATTCCCACCTATGAATATGCATATTATTTTCCTTGTAATATCCTTATCATGACAAACCAAAACAAACTTTTCCTACTGAGGTTTTAGACTATAATTTAACATTGAGAACCCTGAGATGTATTGTTGATTATCCTTTTCCTTTGTATGAATCAGTGTACTTGAACAAGAGGTTTGGGTGAAGTTCTTGGCAAACTGTCAATAATTTAGCCCCTGCTAATGTCTCAGAGTGGATTTCTTATTTATTTATTTTTAAACTTTAAACTCTTCAGCTGGAAATGTATTGTTATTTGTGATGTTCCCATAGTGTTTTGGATGAATAAATTTAACATGTTTTGGCTAGATATTGAGTCACTACTATATGCTTTTACAGATTTATATTTCCACATATGTCTTTGATCTTTGCTGTTTTATCCTTTGTCTGTATCTCTAAAAACCCTAAATTCTCAGGTACTCTATGATATAGGTGTTGTTTCTAGCAAGGAGCCTTTCCAGTGTCTTATAAATCAAGGTTTAATATTGGGAGAGGTTAGTAACATTGCTTCGCTGAATCATATTATTATAACTTATCATCATAAATCTCTAATGTTTCTGATAACAGATGGAGTACACAGCTTGCAGAGACCAAGAAGGTAGACTAATTTCTGCAGACTCTGTAAGCGATCCTGGCGAGTATCGTCAAGAAAAGATACCTGTTGAAAATGTGCGTTTTAAACTGCTCCTTTTCAAGCTAATGCATATGAAAGATACTTGTGAGGTCTCTTATAAACTGTATGTATGTGCTACTGTAGGTTACAAAAGTTGGTGAGTTTCATGTGCTGAAAGATAATCCAAGCATTCGTTTGACTGCTCGAGCCTACAAAATGAGTAAAAGTAGAGGGAATGTCATCAATCCTGATGATGTTGTTTCTGAATATGGCGCAGATTCTCTTCGTTTGTATGAAATGTTTATGGGTCCATTAAGGTATTATTATTGTATCCCGCTTTCTACTCCAAGTTCTTCACAATTTTTTTTTAAAATTTCTTTGAAACATGTCCTGTTTTAGAGATTCAAAAACATGGAGTACGGGAGGAATTGAGGGAGTACACAGGTTTCTAAGCAGGACTTGGAGACTAATTGTTGGTTCTCCTTTACCAGATGGATCATATAGAGATGGAACAGTTGTCACCAATGATGAGCCTACTTTTGAACAGCTCCGTGCTCTCCATAGATGCATAGAGAAGGTAATTATCCATCCCAACTTTTGAACTTTAATATGTTCAGAATTTGTCTAGTATTGGAATGCTAGAGTTTGGTTATTTCTAGACATTTTCAAGTTGATATATGATGAAGAGCGACTGAAGCATAAAATATTTGTTAATGCTGATTTTAGTATATAAGTGCTGACAGGTAGTTCAATAGTTTTGTGTCCTACAGCCAAAGAATTATGTCCAAATTAGCATAAATATACAAAACAAATGGATCCATTGAAGTTATCTGTAGCTTACACACAGGTGAGGACATTATGTCAAAACAACATAGATTGAGGGAATAATGTTAAGATGGTCTCAGATCCATGGAGATTATAGGTGGGTATTTTATGAAATTGTTAGATCATTGATATTAATTTACTATTATTTCTGATATCACAACCTCAAGATGACTAGACATGTCGACACAACTATAGATTTGGAAAATAAAGAGTCACTATAAGGGTAATTCATGTTTAAAATGTTCTGAATGTTCAGTTGAATTGTAAATCATGAGGGGAAAATGATTGAGTTCGTGAAACCTGTGCCCAGTTTAAATGTTCATGATCTCACCATAGGAATCATGTTTTGGTTCAGATGTTGTTCCTTGAGTGATTCCTTGAATTGGATTTAGTCTAATCAACTTCCTACGGCTAATGGGAAATTTGGTACAAATCAAACCTACCACATTAACCAGCATAGCACTCAGATTAAAGGGCAAAAGAGGAATAGGAAAACATACTTAATTCATGACAGTCATTTTTTTGCCTGGATTTCTACCAGCATAATAGCTAGCTACTGATGCATCGTACTCCTGACTTATGAGCTTGATTCAAAGCTGATTCATTACTTATTTTACCTTGTATGGAGTGCAATTGCGCATGGGATCTCTTCAACTCATTCATCTACTGCAGGTGACAGAAGAAATTCAGGAAACAAGGTTCAATACAGGAATTTCAGCAATGATGGAGTTTATTAACGCAGCATACAAGGTTTGTTTTGTGTTTTTTTGTCTTTTTTTGGCGTTAAGACTGATCTTGATTGGAAGCAGTTTGCTGCATGTGGTTCCTATTATATTACAACATCGTTAAAGTTATAAAAATAATAAATATGCATGTTAAATCCATTCAGATGATTTAAGATTGGTTAGAAACACAAAAGTAGATAATAGTGTGAATAGATTAAAAAAATTGTAACTAAATAAACATCACCTGAATACTTACTTATCGTATCCCTTCCCATCTAATTAATAAAATTAAACAGATCAGATATTGACATTAAATTTAGAAAAAACAAAAAAAGGAAAATAAAAGAAAGAGATTTGTTTAAAAGTCGCAGTGTTTTTTCCTGTAATTACAACAACAATACTTTCCCCAAAATCTCTTTGAATTTTCTCTTCTCAAATGGTGATTGTGATTTAGGGTTATGGTTCCGATCATCTTAACCCTAATGCCTCATTTGGTATGTTGGAATCGAATGAAGTTAGAATGGAATGAAGAAAGGAATGTAATGTAATTAATATGGAAATGGAATGTTCATTTCCATTCTCACGTTTGAGTGCAATTAAGAGAATAAAGTGGAAATGGACATTTTAGAGTTTTGTATATTATTGATTCGCTTAAGTGGGAATGAGAGGGGAAGTGGGAATGAGCATTCTAGCTTCCAAAATGAGGTCATATTTGGTATGAAGGAATGATAAGTGGGAATTGTCATTTTATTCCCACTCATTCCCGCATACCAAATGAGGCGTAAATAACAATCGTCATTTGAGAAGAGGAAACTCTAGTTGAAGGAGATTTTAGAAAGTTTTGTTACTATAGTAGAGGAATAACCCGACTTTTAAACAAACATTTTTTTTCCTATCTTTTTTTTTTAATTTGTTATGAGTTGTTTAATTTCATTAACTAGATTTGAAAGGATAGGATAAGGATTGAGGGGTACTTATTTAGTTTTGATTCTTTTATCGATTCACTCTATTATCTCATTCGTGTTTATAACTAATCTTAACTTTATCTGAATGGATTAAATGACATGTTTATTATTTTTTAAACTTCAACTAATGAGAAGTTTATCTTTATACTTTTACTATTGTACATAGATATCCATTATGTTTTCATTTGAAGCATCTGTGACTAAGAGCATTATGTTCACGAAATTCTGAGCTCATTTTATTATCTTTTTTTTATCCAATTATCATTTTCTAACTTCAAGAATAAACTCCCTCCCCTTCTCTTCAATCACCAGAAGATCGCTTTTCTATAGGTTTATTAAGTTTTGCTCTTTTGAATTATAGGAAGCAAGTTCATCTTTTATTGTAGTATCAAATGTATCTGAAGACACTTGTAATCTTCCCATTTATTCCCCTACATTTCAGGCTTTTCTGCTGTTCTTATGTCATATAGTAACAGTAATACTTCTTTCATGCTCATCACTTCTTTTTTTAAGTTGCAAAATCCTTCTTTATTTTATTGATCAAAGGAATAAAGGGGAGACCAAAATTGTTTTACATGCAAATATTGTGTTACATTGAGGTAACAATAAAATTTGGTACCTAATTTGTACATTAATTTCTCATGAGTTTTAGTGGAAGAAGCATCCAAAATCAATCATGGAGGAATTTGTATTGCTACTCTCCCCTTATGCTCCTCACATGGCAGAGGAGCTTTGGTTTCGACTGGGACATTCGAGTTCATTGGCATATGAAAACTTTCCAGAGGTATGTTTTTGTTATCATTCTTTTTATAGGGAGAATTTATTTCTTTTGATGTGGTCCTTTTGTCTGGGTCTCCTAATATTTGAACTTTTTATCAGTCATTTGTTTATTAGTTTTTAATAAAGGGTTGGAGATTTTGTTTAACTGCAGTCTTGCTACTTAGTTTTCATTATTAGTTTATCTGATGTTATTTAAATTAACTCCATTCTCTGGATTCCTTCATTCACAATGTGAACAGAAGGTAACTATGGGATAAAGTAGGTAGTAATAATATTATTGATGTTCACCTATGAATAATACTTCATCGAAGGTAACTATGGGATAAAGTAGGTAGTAATAATATTATTGATGTTCACCTATGAATAATACTTCATCGCAAGGAAGATTGTAGTTTTGTCAGTGAAGAACTAGCAGCGTGCATTTTATATCAGAACACACACATACTTGAAAAGAAAAAGAAACATGGCACAAGAGTGAGTTTTGTGAAAGCTCAAATCATGGTTTGCCGTCAATAGGTGACAGCCAAATGTAAGTTGTAATGACAATATCTATAATTTGATTTAAGGACCATTTTTCCTATTTTTAAACAACGGGACAAAACTATGATTAATCTACTTTATAGGAACTTGCCTTCTATCTCTGCTACAGTTTCATGGGCTTAATAATTTCATTTGCAGATTCTTCAATGGGGTGTTTTGTTGGATGTGTCAGTTGATTGACTTAGCACAATAACTTAGCACAACAATGAAGCCATGACCCATTGGGTGTTCTGTGTGTTTTTTTGGTATTAATCTCTTAAATCTTTAAGATTTTGAAAGTAGTCCCTCAAATAATTGAAATTGCTATCAGGTCCCCAAATTTTAACATGTTTTAAAGTTAGTCCCTCCAATCACTGAAATTGCTATTAGGCCTCCCAATTCTCATAAGTTTTAAATTAATCCCTCCGATTGCTACTCTCTTGGTTGGAGGTACTAATATGAAACAGCTTATGAGATTTTTGTTTTGTTTCTTTTTTGTTTGTGTGTGTGTGTGGGGTGGGGGGGGGGGG